TTTTGACCTTTGACTAGTGACATGTAGGTGTGCCACTGAAGTTTAAATGAGAAAAATTGGGATAAGAAGTTAAACCACACAATTTCTTACTGTTGATAACACTGTAAGTTATTTAAAGTACATATCTCAACTACAATTAGATATTCACACTAAACATAAGTAGATTATGCTCTGCAAGCAACAGTTTTATTTCCTTACTAGGAACATATGAGATCATATTAATTAATTTTAATTCAATTTATTCTTGAAAGATCTTTCATTTGCATGGATGTTTGAATATAAAATTTAAATATAACTGGCAAACAATTCCAGCATATTTGTTAATTAAGTTGATTTATAGATGAATGAAAAGTAAGAAAACAAGGAAATTCATTATGACAGATTTATACATCTATTTGGTTGCCCAAATATCCTGGCAATTTACATCACTGTCTGCAGTGGAGTCTTGTAAATAATTTATATGAAGAGAAATAACAACATAAAAAAGTTAGAATTGGGAACATTATCTCTTCAGTATGCAGCTTTATTTGAGCTAATAATGATTGAATATTATTATCAAAATTTGGTGGGCTAGAATTTTACATGGCATGGTTTTGGGGTCTCAGTTATTTTTTCTACTAGCTGAGCTCTACACTGTATAACTTATTACTTCCAAGGCCAGCTGGTTGGCAGCTTTAAACAGAGAACCCCTGAACTGGAGACTTTCACTAGCCCTCATGTGATCTGACCAGCACTGGATCACAAGATGTGTGACTGAGCATCTTGTTTTATTTTATTTTTCACTATTTTGCCAGAATACACTTTTTCGAATAGGTGAATAAAAATTTCTAGTTTTCAGCAGGCTGAAATTGAAGGTTCCTGAATCAAAATATGATTTTTAAAGTGAATAGAAATTTGAGCAGAAAAGGCCATGTTAAATAAGAATCAGCAAGTCAGAGATCTGATGTTAAATATGCAGTGACTATAGGAGAAAAGATACTGCAAAGAATTTATAACTTCTTTGCACCGTGTGTGTGTGTGGGGGGGTGTAAGAATATATATCTTAAACATATAATATATAAATATATAATATTATATAATATATATACTATATATATACTTATATATAATGAATAAATATACTATATATATATATATATATATATATATATATATATATACACTTCTCTACCTTTCATAGATACTTATCTTTTAGCTGCGAGGAAATTATCAGTATAAGACATATTACATCCTATACCAACATGTGAATACTTGACATATCCATGGGGACTTTTCATGCCCATTCTAAAATAAATAAATAAATACATAACATAAAATACGAATGTCATTGTATAGCAGTAACAATTTATTATAGGTTGCCAAGATCACTTTTCTCAGCTATAAGATACTAACATAAAGTTTTGTCATTCATAGATATACATGTATTTATACGTATACACATACGTATATATATATAGATGTGTATCTGTACTCTGGTAAAAGTGAAGAAAAATCTCTGAAAAGTCAACAAGTTTAATTAGTAAATCATCATTCATATTAACTAAATCTGAAGCGATCATAGTGCATTGAGCAATGGCAAATAAAAAGTCTTTTGCAAATTGTATTTCATAAAGTTTTAATTAAATATTACTTCCAATATCAGAAAGATGTGTGTGAGGATTTTGATTTACCTGATAATCTCATTGTTGCAATAATTAAACTACTCTGGGGGCAAAACTCTTTACAAAGTATGAAAAGAAAGTCTTTCAAACATTTATTTAAGTGCTATTTACTAAGTCCTCCCTATGAAAGTAAAGTTAAAGGCATTGATTTAACCTTTGGATTCACATGATAACCATCACATTCAGACTTGCATGTGCCTTTCATTTTTACTAAAACTGGAGCACACAATGTCCTGGAAATGCTCATTACATTGAGTGATGGAACATTTGTCATTTGTTTAAAACCCCAAACCTAACTTATTTCCTCGTGATTTCCATAGGTTTTTCTGAAGTCTTCATTGTACCACACATTCCAAAAGGAAGATTATATGATAGTCTGGTATTTCATGAGAAAAGTGAAATTTGACTAGTTTTGTAGGAGAAATAAACAGTTCCACATCAATTTGAAAAAGAAGCATTTCAACATTTAGCTATATTACATACATTTCAGGAAAGCAAAAGCATCTCTGAGTGAATGTTTCTTGAGGATAATTTGTATGTGACTGCTGAGATTTACAGAGTTCTCACATTTGCTTCCCCCACAAGGATTCTAAATCAGATTGGTTCAGAGGAAAAGCCAGCATACCCCATTTTTCTAATATTATCACTTCTCCAGATGGTCCTGAACACATCCATTCAATCCCTTTTTCCTAGAAAGTAAAGAGGTACCTTATTAGATATATATATATGTGCATCCACTACCAAGGCTGCCTTCTTGCTTTTCTTTTTCTTTCTCATTTAACACATCAAATCTCTTTCATTTCCTACTAGGCAAGATGACAAGTAGGAAGTGAGCACAGTGATTGCCTGAAACTTTGTCTTGGCAACCTGAGCAATGAGAGAGTTAATGGTGGATCTTTGAAAACAAGTGACCATGGGAAATTAGGGTTGGCAGGGATTTAACTCTTCATGAATCATGCTGGAATATTTTTAAGGGCAAAGCAGTGGATGTTTTAACCGTGTTTGACATCTAATTAAGGAGGAAAAAGAAGGAGCTAAAAAAAAATCTCTATTATAGTTTAGAAACAAAGTACTGACAATTGGCTACTAGGCATTTGCTTTGGCAAAACAAGTGTACATGTAGGGACAAAAAGGTAATGACAGACCAATAAAATGACAGAAGAAAAATTGCTTGGGCCATTCCTTTTCTTCTTCTTGTTGTTGTTCATTTCACAGTTTATATTACCAAATTGCCAAGCCCTAGGCATATCAATAGAATTGTTATGTAGGTGTAGAGCAGTTTTTTTGATGAAAAGAAAAGCAGAATAATTCTAATGGATGCCATGATAAAAAGAGTTTATAAAGACAGTGTCAAATAGATTCATACTGTCAATATATACAACTTACTTCATCAGATAAGTTTAAAGCCTGCACACATATCAAAGGACTATTCTAATTAAATGCTATCTGTTTGTATATAGAAAGAACGGGTACCTGTTCTATAATGGAGAGTAATCAATCACCATGGAAATAAAATTCTTGCAAAATATATATAATTCCCAATCTTTATTTATTTTACAACTTATTTAGCATTTAGACCAGTATCTCCAAATATAGTAGATTTTTAAAGTGTGTTTCATGTTTCATTTGTTACTCTACAATTATAGCATACAGCCATTCACATCTTCAAGAAGTAAAGTTGCATGCGAAACTGACTCATAGGCACATAAACTTGGATAAAATCAGCCACCAATCTAAGAATTATTTGATGTCATCCTCCCAAAGAATGAAAACAGAAAGCAAAAACTGAGGAAAATACACATGCCATAATACCATATTCTATAAAAACAATTTAAAGACAGTTGCTAGAGATGTAATAGAGATTTAATTAAATCTTTAATGGCTATACGATAATGTTTTAAAATCTTGCACGATGAGTACAATTGCAATTCTGTTTGCTAATGTTTTAAATCCATTCACATTTTAGTAACTAAGAAATTGTTATGCCAAAAATAAATGTATCTTTCAATCCAATGTATTTTACCTAGCAAGTATTAATTCCAAATAAACACATTTAATAGGTGTTGAATTTTCTAATCCAAAGTGTGAAAATTGCATCTCTCTTTCTTATTTGTGATCCTCATTCACACTAGAGCATTCAGAAAGAGATGTTCCCCATCATGTGAAAATTAAAGAATATGTTTCTGGCATAAGAACAATGTGCAGCAGACAGACATCTCTACAGATAGATTCAATGATTTTCTTTCACATTATAGGCTAAAAACAGTATAATTGAGGCTTCCTACTGCCCCACCCCCAATTCCCGAAATCTGAGAATCATAAGAAAGCAACACCTTAGGGAGTAAAAGTACTTGAGCTAAAACATTTTAATCAGCAACTCCATTTTACTAATACCTCAGTTATAGAAACATTCTTTTTCATTAAAAGTTTTTCAAAAATACTCTTTTCAACCATGTTAGCATTATATTATACAACTATCTACAAAATCTATCTAAGCAAATGGAGAACAAATATTTCCTTAAAATCCTCATTAAAAACCAGGCATATGCATTAAGCTGTAACCAAATAAAGTACTAGCAATCATGTACTGAAGCTTTTTTCTTTCTTAAATTTAAACTCTTTTTGAAAGTAAGTTCACACAACTAGCTGTACAACCAGAAAGTAATGTTCCTTCAGTTCTCACTGAAGTACATATGGAATTAAATAACATTATATTTCAAAGGCTTTCGCTTTACACCAATTAGCCAAATACACAGTCTTTGGTACAATCATAACACACTGTGGAAAAACTAGTCTGTTCCCTCCAGTTTATATTCTCTTGGCAAACCATGATCTACTGCTTATGTTAAGCATCTGATTGTCAGATTTGAACAAACTGAATATTCATGATGACGATTAACCATTTAGTGCCTCAAACTAAGAAAACACAATTTATCACAACAATTGCTATAGGTGAGGCGTTCTACAAAGAGACTATTTTTGCCATGGTGCTTTTTAAAGATATTTTAATAGAAGTAGAGTCAGAAAAATTAACAGCACATATGATCACACACACAGATCAGCATTTACCCAGGCATTCAGCTCTTCTCTGCAAATGTGATTAAATGTTCTTTGTTTGCATTTAAATTGTCATATATCAAACAGGAGACATGCTTTTATAAAAAAGTGTTTAAATCATCTCAGAAAGACACACAGGATCACATAGGTTTCCCAGGTTAAACTAAAGGCTTCATGGTTTGGCTTGGGAGGGAGTTCAAGGAATGAAAAGGCAGGGGTGGTGGGGTGGGGGGGCAGGGACATTACAGAGCCTGCCGAAAAAGAAGAAAAATAAAGATTTACCTTTGTAGGATAATTTCAGTCTTGGCACATTGTTCTTCCCATTTTGATAGTTTGCTGTGGCTGTGAGTAATACTCCCCAGAAAAGACAGACAATCCTAGCGAACCAGCCCATGCTGCAGACGCTGGAGGTGCCTGTGCTGCTCTGCCTTCCCTCCTGTATTGTGCGGCCAGAGAAGTTCAAACAATCTGGAAACTGGAGGTAACAGGTGATTTAGGTCAGTTTCATTCATAAATGCAGACAATCAAGACCTCACGGCAACACTAACACCTCTTCTTCTGTAACAGTCACTGGAGCACAGAAACTTCAAACCCTCCAAAAAAAAAAAAAAAAAAAAATCGAGCCAGGCACCGGATAATGAGGCACAACTGTTGTGTAGAAAGAAAAAAAAAAATGAACAAGGGCTGCTGCAGTGGTGCTTAAGAAGCAGTTCCTTTTATCTAGGTTCTTCTGATAGCCAGTGGCGGACTCTAATCCTGCTCTCTGCTTCATTCGGCTCCGGGGAAGCAGAATGAAAGGGAAACAGAGAAAGAGAGAGAGAGAGAGAAAGAGAGAGAGAGAGAGAAAGAGGAGCCCTGAGCAGCGCGGACTTTTCCTGTACACATGTAGGGAGAGATGACACAAGATCCCACAGACAGGTTTTCCCAACACTCACTAGACTGGCTGACAATGGGAGAACAGGCGAGCTCAACCCACTCCCCTTCCCTCCTGTCACACAACACATGCAAAAAACATCTCCTAGAGATTAGAGCTGGGAGCAGAACCCTCCAGCGTGCCTGTGAAAGGCATGTAGCTATAAATTTACTTCCCAAGGCACGCGTTGTTTTATAGCCATTTTTAGGTGCAATTTTGATTAAAAAAATCTGAATTCTGCTACCTACATAATTTATAACTCATTATATAATTCCTTTGAACTTGTGCATTATATGTGTATGTATGCGTGTGTGTATATATACTTATATATATATACACACACACGCATACATACACATATAATGCATATGTACATATATGTATATCTTTTCACCATTATAACTTTAACCACTGAAGGTTTTAAAGCCTTGTTAGAGATCATTCCCTCTTCCCAACAAACCCCCTTGGCTCAACTACCCCCTTCCCCCGACCCGCAGCAATTTCACTGAAGAAATTCCTAGTAAAGCCCATTTCAACAATCAGTTCAAGACAAATATAGGTCCACTGAGAATTATAAATTACAACTCAAAAGGATACTCAGAATTTAAAAACATCTATGGTTTTCCAGCTTCTGGAATGCTCTGGTTAGCATTGTTAATGCATCACACATCTCATTAATTAAAACCACTTCCCTAGTTTTGGTTGAAAGGGCAGAGGAAGATGACAAAGTTCACAAAAGTCCCTGCTGAGTGTCAAGGACCAACATAAAGAGGATATCTCTGTGTCTTCATGAGGTGGTGAAGGGTTACTAAACGTTCTGTGCACACGAATGCATATGTTTAGGCAGTCATACAGACACAACCAGTTCTTTCCTAAATAGACATTTTGTCTGAGGTGTTTCAATTTCCTCTTCTATTTTTCTTTCAATTTTCCCCAAAGCTGATATCCTTATAGGATATTGGGGGTTGGCGTATATAAAAGTTAGTAGGACCGAACTTTCCCTTCTCTACTCAACTCTCTCTGCTCTACCCGTGTCACCCCCCCCCCCCCCACAACACTCACAATTGAAATACAGAATAGAGAACCTACTTCAAGTATGGAAATTTTTTCCACTGAAAGAAGAGGGTGAGTCTCACAATTACAAACATAAACACTTACAGTGGCTTAGTATTCTTGTGAAAAATGATCCAAGCACTGCCACTACAGCTTTCATGACTTAATGTCTACAGGCCAATAGGGGAAAAGCATCTCTCTCTTTCCCTCTTTCCTTCTGTCTGTCTCTCTGCCTCAACAACTACGTGTGTGTTCGGGGTGGGCGGAGTAGGGGTGGGTGGGTGGCTGGGTGGAGGAGCAGGAAGAGGATGAAGAGGATTTAAAGGAGGGAGAATGGGGGAAGGGGTGGATGGATTCTCTCTACTTCACTAGATTGATTCATCAAACAGACCGTATTGTATTTGTCAGTTTCCTCAAGCCTATTGATCAGTCAGTATTGTTAAGAAAATAAAATCTAAAAATAATGTTGATTTTACTGATTCCCGCACTTGTTATCCTGAGCACTTTTCACGCCCTAGGCAATGGATTAAGGCTACAAACGACAAGAGGCTTGTCTGTCTTCCATGGATTACTCTCTATAGACATTTATTCTACAGAGGAATTCATGTTACTTTGGGATTATTTAGAAGATTGGACCAATGAATTATCCTTTTGAAATATCACATATAATTAGTTAAAATACTTTAAATAGTTGTGCCATTTTCATTAATATATTTTAAATGTCTTTAAATATTTATTTTTCCTCTAGCTCTTGTTACCTAGAGTAGGGGAACAAGTTTATATTTGTCAAAACTAAACAGGATAAGCAAATTTAGAAATGTATCCATTTCACTTTCGTAATGTCTAATTCTGAAACATTTTGATGTGTTCCAGGAAAAATGAAAGGTTGTAGGTAAAATTCAGATAAAAGAGGATCAGAATTAACTCCATGGGGAAGAAAGACATTCAATCTGGATTTTGAACCACAAAATCAGGACAGAGTTATTTAATTTTGTAAAACAAGTAATTTAAATTAATGTTGAAGTCTGGAATTTGGTAGCACAGATACCCATGTTTAGATACACACACATAATTTTAAAAAACACTTTCTTACCCTCTAAATTTTGTATGATCTTTGTGTGTCTTCAAATGTTTGCAAGCTTAATAAATTCACATTTACATTTGCTTCTCTCTAGATTTTTTAAATTTAAAATGTGTGAACACAGTAAATTCTGTGGGTAAGCATAACTGTGCTAGACTGATTATAAAAGAATAGAAAAGTGTAGCCATGCATAGATATTTTAACTGTAATTTTGTAAACAAGAAAAGAGAAAGAAACTACATGCCTGAAAAATACAAAAGCATTTGGAGTTTTCTATTTCTACCTCTTTCAAAGTCTTTGACTTAAGTCAGGGTGAAAGTTGTTTTCAACTTTTTTCTTTTACTCCCAAACACGTGAAGGATAATCAAAGTTAAACGTATTTCTCAGATGACGTAGAAAGAAGGTAAAGAGTCGACCTAGGTGGGTGTTTTTCAGAAATTTTCAAAATCTGACCGTATGTATGAAACATAGATTTTGATTCACCCCACACCCCCCAAAGAACATGACTCCCTACTCTTACATTCAGTGGCCTAAGCCCTGCAGGATGAAGCCTGCTCCATTTGTCTCCTTGGCCACTGATGTTAGTTCATCACTTACTACTCTTTAAAAGTCAGAAATATTACACTGATCTTTTAACATCAAATTTTATTTAAGGCTTAAGTGAAAAACCTTATTTTGCTTTTTTCTCAAAGTTGTCTTTATGATGATTTTCTAACCTTCAATCTATATCATGCACCATAATTCACTTCACTTGCAACTGAATCTCTACTACCTTTTTAAATTTCAAGTGTTCAGATGTGATGAACTCCTACTACAGAGTCAGATTTGAGCAGGGGCTTAATATGATGATCATGCTCTTGTATAGATTTCTGTCAAATCAATCAGTAGTTTTTTAACCCCACTCCATATTGAGATGGATCACAAAGACTTTCCAGGAAGAGCGATAGGTTCATGGGTGGTGTGCTTGATTTTCTACAGAAACAATACTTTCAACTTTACAACAGGTTGGTTAAGTTTTGTTTTTCACAAAAGACCTGTATAGTCATAGAAGATCCATACGAAAGCATTTCTCCACTGAAAAAAAATATTATTGATCTTTTCACGTATTAGATAAAACCAATGCAGTATTTTTTAAATGCCCACTCTCCGTATTTTATTTATGATGAAATAAATTGGAATAACAACAAACATTGTAATTCAAGGGCAGAAATGATTGTCCTTATTTGTGAGATGGCATTCCAGTACTTCCCCAGGTTATAGATACCCTGGGTCTTTTTGTGAGCGGTAGGTGAAAACTCTTCCTGTATTTGTGCATAAAAGAAGAGAAGGAGAAATATAATTCTGATGTATTTAAAAATTTAGTGGATTAAATGTACTTGAAGTTATGGTACACTCTAGTAAACACACTTGCCTCTCCCTGTAATCCCACTCTACCCCTGTTTTATTGTGGTGTGATAGAGTACTGCCCCCAAGTTGGCACTAATGACAAAATAGAAGACCTCTTTAAGAGAAATAACTGAGTTAAGAATTTTAGAATGAGTTGGTTAACCAGTTCCCCAAAGAAACAACACCAAGAAGGAGACCAATACTAAAAACAAATTTTCAGTACTCTTACCAAGGTGTTATTCAACTGAGTCATGTAAAAAAATGATATTAGTTTCCATCTAACATCTGCTATTTCTCATTTTTTTTTCTTCAAGGGATGCTTCTTCGCTATATGAGAAAGGCCTGTGATCAACAGAATTATAGCAAATGTCAGAGTCAAACATTTGTCCTTGCTCTGACATCTCATGTTGGAAATTCATTTTTAATGAGGGTTTTTCTGGTACAGGGAATTTGAAACCTTTTCTTTTTCTAAAAAAGAATTGTGTGGGTGAAAACATTCTCTAGAAGATCAGAAGACATCTTATTAATTGGGCAAACTAGATAGCTGATGCATTATTTGTTCTAGCCAAAAATGATAGTTCTTTAGAACTACTGCAGTAGTCACTGGGAGCTGGGGGTGGCAGGTTGAAAGCAATATTTAAGAAATCAAGTTAAACTTTTCATAATCTGACCCTTGTGAATGCTTTTAGTATAAGCAAAATGTGAAAGGAGGAGTTGAGTGGAGGAATTGGTAAAAGGCAAAGGGAATCCACTCTCTAGGGAAGCATTAACTCTTCCCTTGCTTTCCAGCCCCCTTTCCCCCTCCCACCCGCCATGAATGGAGATTTCAGGAAAATAAGCTCATCCCTCTTCTGGAATGATTTTGTAACAATTTGAGGGAAAAAAAAAATCAGTTTTGTGTTTTCTCTTGTGACATCAATACTTTGAGGTAAACAGGGACTCAAAACAAAAAACTCCTTGTTTTTCAAATGAATTGAAGCGATAAATGTTAGATCAATGCAGGAGACCAGAAACCGGCCAGTCACGTTATTTGTGGCTGCAG